CGGCCAATACTTGGGAACGGCAGAAGCGGGCTCAGACCTCCCCCGGCGTCTCCCAGGGCCTGCGTGATGCAACGAGGCCGGAGAGAAACCCCGGAGCCGACACGAGCCTTTCACACCAGCCGCCCTTGGGCGCTGCCGCTCGCCAGGAGGGCGCACGGCCTCGGCCAAGCCCACCGAGGTGCTCCTGCGCCAGAGCGGGTTGCACGCCCTGCACCAGCCCCCACAGTCACAGAGCGGTTGAGGTTGGCAGGGACCTCTGGAGATCATCTAGTCCAACCGCTGCTGCTCAGGCAGGGTCACCTAGAGCACACTACCCAGGATTGTGTCCAGACGGCTCCAGAAGAGGAGCCAGGACCAGCTGAAGGATCTCTTCCCACCTCTCCTGTCCAGGAAAGCGGCTGATGAGGGATGACCCGGGACCAGGGAGCACTGCCTTCCTCCCCCAAAAGCATCAAGCCCAGGCTCTCCCAGGGCTGGGAAAGCTCGTGAGCCGGCTTCACCATCTTCTCCGCTCTGCTTTGGCAAGATTGGACATAAGTTCGTGGTCGAAGGGTGTGCACGAGCAACGAACAAGCCAGAGGCCAAGCCAAGGTCAAGCTTTTACCCAAACATAGTTAATTCTCCAACAGTCCTAATCCAATATCCTGACTCTTGCTTTTAGGATCATTTGCCCTGAGCTTCCCGAAGGCCTGGTGTCCTGGTCCTTGGCAGGGTTTAACAGGACTTTCAGATCTGCAGGTCCCCCTTACTGCAAGTCTTTGGACGTTCCTCCTGCTGCAGCGACTGGAAAATGGTCCCCTATAGGGCCTGGGAAGAGGGGCAGTGCCCTGCTCCGCCGGGATGCTCGGGGCAGGTATGGCGGAGGAGCTAATTCAAAGCAGGGGAAGGGAGCAACTTCCAAACGCGCACGGGGAACCTGCTAAACAGAAAGCAGCGCTCCGGATCGAGCGTGGCCGTAACATCTCCGACCTCTCTCAGCTAACCCGAGCGCTGGTCAGCAGGGTCGGCTGCAGACGCAGAGGTCTGCTCAGCCAACAGCTGGGCAGCTTTGACATTTGCCCGCTAGACGCTGTTTTGTGGTTCGCATGAGAAGAAGAAAAAGAAAAAAACAACAGAGACGGCCCTGTGCCCCCCCAGAGCCACTGCCGAGGAGCTCAGGTCCAACATGCTGGCATGGCGGGGAAGAAGGCCCAAGACCTCCACCGTACCCAGGCAGAGCCAAGACTCGCTCCCCTGTCCCTCACATCCAGGGGAAGCATCGTCAGCCCCCTTCCAGCCCAATTCTTCATAATTTGATTGCATTTTTTTCTTGCACTATCCAAAAGCCTTTCTGCACAAATAGGGACCACTGGAAGAACGTGAACCTCTTCAATCCAGGTTCAGGGTTAACACCACTTTTATCAGTGAACCAAAATACTCTCAGGGAAGGACAAGCACTTGGTTGGTCTGAGCAGCGCTCTCCTGCAGAGGACAGAGATGCTCGGGACATCTTCCACAGCTCCAGAAGGTGGGAGACTTAACAATAACAAAACCTGAGGCAGTTTTACATTATTATTATTATTATTGTACGTTTCTGGCAAAATAGGATTATTTTTCAATTCCAGTTTTTAGCTAAAATTAGTATTTATTTTTGCACAAAGGAGGAAAAAAAAAAGTGATTTTTGCCATAAAAACACGTGGATTTTCTGTTTGTTTAGTCAACAGAAGAAAAACATCTTGCCAGAAACATTCCGGTTTATGAAGAGACCTTCCTCAAAAGGAGCACTTTATTTCCTGGCAAGGGAATAAAACCCCTTCCATCAAGAACACAATGCTGCTTTGGGTCAAACGTGTAACGCGAAGGAAAAAATAAAACAAATAACAACAACAACAAATACCCCACAGGTGTGCTTGTGCAATCCTGCTGCACGGCAGCCGCAAGAAGTGACGGCCGAAGGTTTGATACTGGGATTTATTCAAGAGCCTCCCATCTCCCAGCGCAGGCGAAGGCGCAGACTCGTGGCCGCTTCCCAGCGTTCGGAGCGCTGGCCTTGGAGCACAGGATTGCTCCCGCCTTCGTGAGACGGGAAAGCAGTTTTTCACAGTGAAAAACTACCGCTCCGCGCAGCTGAGAAACTAGGCGAGCTCCCCGGCTGGTTATATTTCTGCCCGTCCCACGGTGATAGATGGGATCGGGGTCCTTTTTAAGCAGGAAGCACTTATTAAAGCAAACGAACAAACAAGTTTCTGCGTACCTTGAATCTCAGCTTTGTCGTCTTCCTTCATGCAGAACCGCGGCTGCACGAACCACGGCGGCGGCCGCCTGCGGGCTATCACAGACAGGCCCGTAACTACCCTCCCAGTGCCGTCTGCACCAAAAGGAGAAGACAACCCCTTTTTCCTTGCTCCCCTCCCCAAAATATCCTACACGTCCCACCAGAACTTAAGAGTCACCTCGCAACGGCGTGACTCAAATGCTTTTGAAAGCGCTTTGACGGCAGCCTTTGAACATCTCCCTCTCCCGGGCTTCACCACGCGCGCCAGCACGACGAGTCCTAGCAAGACCGCCAGCAAGCTGCCGGGTTCACGTGACCCCCAAACTGCTTGTTCTTTGCCCAAAAGGCAGCTCCCGAGGGCCTCCAGGCGCCTACAAACAGAGCCCATGCCGGCGCTCAGAGCTCAAAAGTGCCGCGAAAGGGGGCGAGCGATCCCCCCCCGTCTTGCTCGCATGAAAATCCTCTCTTCCTCCATCCCTGCCACCCGCCGGCAAACGCGAGCCCGCGCGACTCTCCAACAGCAGGAAGTCATAGCCACGGGCACGTGGTGCCACTGCCCTCCAAGCACGGGGCAGCTCCCGGGCCCCAGTGGCGCGAGGACTAAGGGATGCTCCACCGCATGCTCCACCGGCAAAATTAGACATTTCGGTGCAGCCCCCCACCAGGTCCCAGGACTCAACAGCGTCCTCCTTGCTTTGCTGCTGCCTCTGGACAAATGGAGGATTAATGCCCAAATCGGAGGTGCACGGAACCGTGATCCGGCAGAGCCGCAAGGCAAAGGCCACTAGGGCCGATACGGACTCGCTGCTCTCCGCAGGGAATTGCTGACCACGGGCAGAGCAGGTAAGCTCTCCCCGCTCACCTCAGAGCAGGACTCACATCAGCAGGACAAACACACCTCACCTGAAAAGCAGCCAAACAGCACGGAGAAGATCAAGATGGACCCTCATAGAGCATCTGCCAGCATCTTATTTTGTAAAGGAACATTTTCCTCCAGGAACATTTTCCTTATCCTCATAACCCCATCCACTGAGGAAGAGACCGCTCTGGACCCTCCAGACCAGGGAACAGGGCACGGGCACAAGTGCCTCTGCGCTCCTCATTGCTTCCAGAGCAACGCTGGGTCTGCTGCCCTCCCACGCCGAGAAAGGCGCTGGCTGCTCTGTGCTTATCGGCCATCCAAAATCTCTTAAGGAGCGCTGAGCATTGGATTTGACCCTTTAGGTGAGCTTCAGATTACATCAACAGGATCCCACGTTCATGACAGCTCCCCTCACACACACATAAGCTATGTTTACTGGATGTCTACAGGTGCTGTTTTCCATTGGCACCTTTCCTCCAAGGCCTACTTGCTTACCCACAGCTTCCAGGTAAGCATTCCCAAAGCCAGCACGTAGCTTACACATACGCGCTCCATAAAGACCCCACAAAGCTCCAGAATTCCTTATGCCCTGCCAGAAGCGACACACATCAGCTGTCCCGACCGCGTTCTGCGTCAGGGTGAAATACAAGGCACATCGCTCTGAGCAGTATTTCACCACTTACGAACTGGTTTTAGATGCCTGCTGCCATTCGTAGGGGAGAGCGCTCCGCATGGCTGCCCCCAAATCATTGCCTGGTCCCTGAAAGCCAGACCGCTTCACGGCAGGTAACTGGTGCAGAGCTGATTCCCAAATAGACACTGCTCACAATAGCTTGGCTGGGACAGACTACTCATTAGCAAAGCTAGCAGCAAACACTGCACGAGCAAGATCAACCTTACCTTTGCAAGCCACGTTGTTCTCCGGCTCGTAACCAGCCTTACAAGTGCAGCGGCCAATGGGAACCATCCATTCCCCGTCCCCGTTACAGTACAGTTTAATGGGCACATCCACTTCCTCAGCGTTGGGGATGCAGGTGCCCCGGGCAGTCACCAGCGAGGTGCTCTCTGCTCCTGTCATAGTCTCTGGGAAGATGGCAAAGTTCTGCACCACGCTAGGGCACTTCTTGAAGAAGACCCTGACTGACAACAGAGACATACAAGCCCCATAGTCCTGGAAAGCCAGGTAAAAGCCATTGCGGGTCAGGGGCCCAAAACTTCTCACTTCTGTGTTCACCTTCATCAACCGGCCCCCAAAGTCCACCTGCGAGAAGCTCTCGTCAGCAGCAATGGTGTCCACTTTGAGGTAGGGTGCCTCCGTCCAGAAGGCTGACTTCTTGGTGGCAATGACAGAGTCCGTCTCGTAGTAGTAGAGGTTGAAGGTCTCCTTGCAGGAGCCAGGAACGTTGGGGAGGCTGCTGCAGTCTCGCACAGTGAAGCGCATCTCGGTGTAAATGCGGTGAGCGCCGCGCCGGTTGATGAAGGTGGTGAGGAGCCAGTTGTTCTGGTTCGGCTCGAAGACATTGCACACCTGGTATGTACGGATGGTGTTCAGGTTTTCGTCGTAGCCACTGACTTCTTCCCACTGTAGAAAGGAGAAGAAGGAGGCTGTGAGAGGGAGGCAGAGGGAACGCGCACGGCCCAGGAGCCCTCCGAGGCACCGGTCACTCTAGACAGGGCAGGGCTGGGGTGAAAGGAGGACTCTGAGCTAGCGTGTCTGGCTTCCACCTCTGGGACCACGGGACAAAAATCACAGTTTAGTTTCCTAATGAATTTAATCCTTGGGCCAAAACAGAAACAGAAGGGCTCAAGCCACAGCAGGCCACTTGCTGGCAGAGTCCCAAACAGAAAACACCTGATTGCCTGCTTCCTTCATCCCCTCGTCTCCTCAAATGTCCTTTCCATGTGGACAATTGCATTAGCTGCCTCCAGAAGGCTAGGAGGACATAAGAGCGGGAAGAAAGATGGTCCATGTACTCAGAAGCGGGAGGGAAAGCACCACCTGAGACTACCTCTTTATTCAGACCGAGTCAACGCCTGGGCCGCAGAACATGCGTGACCCCAGGCTCGAGAACAGTCTAACTTCCACGAGCAAAAAAAAGTAAAGTAAAACATAACCAAAGCCACACTGCAGCTGCAAGGGAGAGAATATAGATTTGCAATTCGATTTATAGAAGGGCATTAATATAATCCTGGCTACAATTTCAATTAAGGGACAGCAGCAAACTGTGAATAGTCTACGATGGCATTAGAGTCCCACAGACAGATTTACAACCTCATAATCCATTCATTTTAACTAATCCATGTTTACAGTCTCCTCATAACAGCATTATTCATATGGTAGTCTTCAAGCAGCACTGTGAATATCATGCATAATTTCTAGGAGTGACACTATAGAAACATTTGCGCACATTTACATACACTTACGTGGGGGGGCCCAACCGTGAACACCCACGTTGCAAAATAGGTAACGCTGAACTGCCCTGTATGTCAGCTCTTCCCGATGATGAAACAAGACCAACACTGTAATTTTGCAGATTCTGTCCTTTTCCATTCCCCTTTAAACAAGCACGTTCCTCATCTGCTCCCTAAGTTTCCACCTTGTGAACTGCAGCACTGATGTAAAAAAACGCTTTTTTTTTTTTTTTAAAAGCGCTCCTCTACCAGTACACACTGCCAACAAATGAGTTAGAACGTTTGCTCCCAGGTCTAACTATTAAGCTCTCGTAAGCTTAAGCAAAGATCATGGCTCAAGGTTGCGCATGGTTGTTAAGCGATGTTTACCAAACCAGCAATAAAGACAGGCAAACTCATGCATCCAGCTGAGCTCTCCCCCTCCTCATCCTGTGCCACGAAAGCAGTACAAAAATACGCTTTACACAGCACACAACGTGCAAACCCCAACGTCCTTTCGTTCTGAGGCACTTTTTCATACGAGAAAGCTGCAAAGCTCACCCGGACCAGCTGGCTTGGCATCATCTCCCATCCCGTTTTGAGCTTCACGTTGTAGGCCATCACCCAATTAACGCCAGACAGCGGTCTGCCTTTCAGCGCTCACCTGCCCGCCTAACATCAGCCCTGCTGCTCCGCCGCCTTCGCCAGGCTCTGCAGGAGGCATCTCCTTCCTCCAGCGCGGCGCCTCTCGCGCCCCAGCCCTCGCTCACCGCCTGTCTCACCCACGCGCGGGAGGAGACCCCGACCAATAGTCCTCTATTCGTGATGCATGTCAGGAAGCCAGCTCTTGCCACAGACCGTTCCCCAGGGTTTTTTGGACTGCCAACGGATCTTCAAAACTCAGATTTGGAGTCAAGACGTGCTAGCAGACCTTGCAACGCTTTAGGCGCCCAATGCACGGGGGCTCCCGGCGTCAGGTCTCCCGGCAGAGGAGCACCTCAGGAAGGAACAGCCGCAGTTTGTCACGGTGAAAGCTGCAGTTAAAATGGGATAGAGCCCACAAGAGGGTCTCACCCACAACGCGTGGGATGTGGCAGGTATGCCACGCACCTCCAGGCCGTGGGCTTGCTCTGCTTTGAAGGAACCTGCTACGGTAACAGCGAGGACAAACAGAGCAAGCCGGGACTCAGCAGTTGCAAAAGACAGCAGTGGAGCAGGAGCCTGCCTGGACCTTCTGGGGTTGTCCTAGCTCCTACAGGAGCGCTGCCAGAGCGGCTCAACATGCTCTTGCCTGAACAGCCGTTGGTCAGCGCTCCAGACTCAAGACAACCGAGCGGCGCGCACTGCGCAGCCGGGGCAGAGGGAGAAAGCCGAGATCCTCCTACGGGAGCGAGCGCAGGAGAGCAGCCCAACGCGCGGCCCCCGGCGGCAGCAGCAGCTCTGCGGCGCCGCATCCCCGGGGCCAACGGTTGCAGGGCGG